ATGTGTTTGTTGTTGAGGACGCTCTTGGCCACGTGCAGACTCGTCTTCTTGAACTGCTCCGCTGCCAGCTGCAAATTCCCAAAAAAAATGGGATAAATCCCGAATTTCACCCAAAAAATGAGATGAAAATCCCAGGAATTACTTTAATAATATTGGGATAAATCCTAGGAATTAGAAAAAAAAAATTGATTAAAAGTTCCAGGAATTAATTTAAAAAATACTGGGTAAAAATTGCTGGAATTAGTTTAAAAAAATTGGGATATATCCTGAGAATTTCACCCAAAAAATTGGGAAAAATTCTGAGAATTTCACCCAAAAAATCAAGATAAATTCTGGAAAATTCCCTCCCAAGAAATTCTAAAAACATAATTCCAAAAACAATTTAAAAAAAAATTTAAAATGGAAAAAAATTCCAAAAAATACCAAAAAAAATTTAAAAAATGCAAAAAACCACCTGAAAAATTCCTTAAAATGTCCCTGAAACTCCGCAAAATTCCCAGAAAATTCCTGAAATTTCCCGAAAATCCCAGAAATTCCCAGAAAATTCCCAGAAATTCCCAAAATTCCCATAAAATCCCGGAATTTCTCACCCGTCGGTTGCGGTTGTGCTCGGCGGAGCGCAGGTGCCGCTGCAGGAGGTGTCCCTGGGCTGGGATCAGCATGTCACAGGCCAGGCAGTGAGCGGCTTCAATCCGCTTGAAAAAATGCTCCTGGCCGATCCCTGGAAGCAGAAAATTCCATAAATTAAAATAATTCCCAAAATTCCCAAAAAATTCCATCGGAAATGGTCAAAATCGGAGCCGTTCCCGCCCCAAAATTCCCTTTTTTGGGGTGAAAATCCCACAGATTTCACCCCAAAATGAGGAGCGGCCTCGATCCACTTGAAAAAATGCTCCTGGCCGATCCCTGGAATGAGAAAATTCCATAAATTTAAAAAATTCCAAAATTCCAAAAAAATTCCATTAAAAAAGGTGAATCGGAGCCGCTCCTGCCCCAGAATTCCCATTTTTTGAGGACAAATCCATCAAGTTTTGCCCCAAAAATGAGGAGTGACCTCAATCCTGCTTGAACAAATGCTCCTGGTCAATCCCTAAATCCAGAAAATTCCATGAATTTCAAAAATTCCCAAAATTCCAAAACAAATTCCATCAAAATTCCCAAAAATTCCATCAAAATTCCCAAAATTTGGGATTTTCCTGACCTTTGAAGGGGTCGGGTCTCTGCTTTGCTCCCTCTTTGTCCGTCAGCTCCTGGCGCCGCTTCTCGATTTTCCTGTTCCTGTTGATGATGTATTCCTGGAAAAATGGGAAAAATCATGGAAAAATGGGGAAAAAATCATGGAAAAATGGAAAAAAACCATGGGAAAATCCATGGGAAAATCGGGAAAAAACCATCCTAAAAACTCCAAAACCACCCCCCAAAAAAATCCCGAAAAATCCCAAATTTTTTCCCAATCCTGAAATCCAAACCAACCCTGAGAAACCCCCAAAAAATCAGAAAAAAATCTGAAACCAACCCCAAAAAATCCGAAAAAAACCTTAAAAAATGGCGCAAAACCCCCCAAAAAATGCAAAAAATTCCCAAAAATTCCCGAAAAATCCCAAATTTCCTCCCAATCCTGAAATCCAAATTGACCCTGAAAAACCCCCCAAAAAATCAGAAAAAAATCCGAAAAAAATGCTAAAAAATTGCAAAAAAATACCAAAAAATTGCAAAAAAAATACCAAAAATTCCCAAAAATTCCTAAAAATTCCCGAAAATTCCCCAAAATTCCCAAATTTCCGGACCTGCAGGAAGTGGACGGTTTTGTCGGGCAGTTTGGTGCCGATGTAGCGCAGCGTCTCCCGGTGGAATTTGCTCTGCAGGTGCCTCTGGATCTCCTCCTCCTCCAAAGTGCGGAATTTGCAGACGGAGCAGGCGAACTGGATCCTGGAAAAACGGGAAAAATTGGGAATTTCGGTGGGAAATGGGGAGATTCAGTGGAAAAAGCACAAAATTCCATAAAAATCCCCATGAAATTCCGTGGAAAAACAGGGAGATTCCATGAAAAAAGCATGAAATTACGGGAAAAAATGGCAAAATTTCATAAAAAACACACAAAATTCCATGAAAAACACACAAAATTCCGTGAAAAATGAAAATGAAAAATTTCATGAAAACACAGATTTCTGTGAAAATATGGCAAAATTTCGTGCAGAAAGCATAAAATTTGGTGAGAAAATGACAAAATTCTGTGAAAAAAGCATAAAATTCCATGGGAAAAATAGCAAAATTCCATGAAAAATGAAAATGAAAAATCCCATGAAAAAAGCACAAAATGTTCTTAAAACTCAGAAGAATTCCCAAAATAGTCTCAAAATTCCCCAGAAATTCCCAAAAAAAATCCAAAAGAATCCCCTGCAATTTCAAAAAATCTCCACGGGAACGATCAGAATTCCCAAAAATTCCCCCAAAAATTCCTAAAAATCCCCAAAAATTCCCAAAAAAATCCCCCAAAATTCCCAAAAATCTCCACGGGAACGACTGGAATTCCTAAAAATCCCCCCCCAAATTCCTAAAAATCCCCAAAATTCCTAAAAATCAAAAAAAATTCCCAAAATTCCCAGAAAATTCCCGAAATTCCCGGAATTCCCGGCCTGACCTGTCCATGGCCCGGTCCCTCATTCGGTCCCTCCTCCGTTGCTTTTCCCGTTTTTTCTTCATCTCCTCGTCCTCATCCTCRGATCCTGCGGGAAATTCGGGAATTCTCATCCCAAAAAAAAACTTCAATTCCCTCATTCCCACAACCCCAAATCC